TGTGTGTGTGTGTGTGTGTGTGTGTGTGTGTGTGTGTGTGTGTGTGTGTGTGTGTGTGTGTGTGTGTGTGTGTGTGCATCTGTGAATGATGATGACTGTTTCTGTTCTTGTGTTTGGTCTCGTTTCTTGTCATTTCCTTCGAGTTGTGTACTATCTCTCTCGTTGGCCCCTCAATTCTCTGTCTCCAACGCACACAATACGCACACACACACGCAACACACACACACACACACGTGCACACCATGCACACAACACGCATACACGCAACACACACACACACCACATAATCCTGCGTCACTTCTGGGAGCCGCTGAGAACAATGTGCGCCTTGCCCGTCTGCTCCTGGTGCTTGCGCAGGCCAACCACAGAGCCCAGCGGCGTGTCCTCGGAGCTCATCTTCAGCAAGGCCTCCTCCTGCTGGCGCTTGCGGAGCTTCTTCTCCGTCTTCATGCGCCCAGAGGTCTTGCCGTGGAACTGGTGCGACATGTACGTAAACGCCTCCTTCGGCGTCAGCTCCCGGCCCGTGTTGTCCGTGTACGACAAGCGGAAGCTCGGCTGGTACCCGCGCTTCTCAAACGGATCCCTGCAGTCGTGTGTGTGTGTGTGTGTGTGTGTGTGTGTGTGTGTGTGTGTGTGTGTGTGTGTGTGTGTGTGTGTGTGTGTGTGTGTGTGTGTGTGTGTCGGGACGGGTGTGAGTGTGTGCGTGTGTGTTTGATTGAGTTCGGAGAGAAGGTGAAGAGGAGTGGAGTATCTCAATTCGTCGTGGTGGTGGTGTTGGTGGTGGTGTTATGAGTTGAAGGAAGAAGGCCATAGCGAAGATACAACGCAGCACAAACACAATTAAAAAAAAAAAAAAGAAGCGCACGCAGCACAGACACAGACACAACAAACAGCATCAAGACAAGCACCAACACCGACACCTCCAACACCACAAAAGCGCCCAACTGACCCCCTGTCTCTGTCGCGTCGGCTGTCACGGCGCCAGTCGCGGGAGCTGCGCGAATCACGACCGTGGTCGTCGTCCTCGGGTCCGTGCTCCTCCTGCTGTGCGTTCTTGCTCGTCAGCTCGGCCAGGCGGGACGCCGTCGCTTCCTCTTGCTGCTGTTGCTGCTTCTTCTTCTTCTGTGCAAGGTAGCCCTTGCGCAGGGCAAGGTTCAGGGCTGCCGTCACGCTCGAGCCCACGTTGCCTTCCTCGCCAAGCACAGGCGTGTCATCCACCTCCGTCTTGCGCTCCGCGTGCTCAGCATCTGTCGTGGCCTGGTCGGTCGTGAAACTGCTCTGGAAGTAGCGTCCCGTGCCATCGCCATCACCACCCTCTTCAGCCTTGTCCTCGCCAGTCTCCATAGCTGCTGCTGCTGCTGATGATGCTGATGATGACGACGATGCTGGCGCTGCCGGTACGGGCGGAGCGCTCGTCTCTGTCGCTCCTGCTGTTGCTGTTGCTGTTGCTGACGATGAAGAGCCCTGCTTGTTTCGCTTGCGGGGCTGGTCGTCATCTTTGCTGTTGGCGCCAATGCCGCGCACAAATTCGCTCATCGTCGAGAACACAACACCGCCGCCAGCACTCGACCCTGCTCCAAAACACGCGACGGTGGCAGATGGGTGGTGTGAGACAGGGGAGCAGTGTTTGGACTTGAGGAGGGGAGATGGAAGCGGAATGGGTTGCATCAGAAGCATGAAAGAAGCAGCCCTGCACACATGCACAGACAACCATACAGACACATGTGCACACGCAAAGAATCATATACAACTACACATGCACATACACATGTGCACACGCACCGTTGTTGTTCTCCTTGGACTTTTTCACCGCAGCATCAAGCAGCTCCGTGACTGCGCAGTGACACCAATATGTGCACATGATGAATGTGGAAATTAGGGAAAAGGGTAAGGGAGCGTGATGCATGGGAACGAAAATCACGCAACCGTCAAGTTGTGATGAGCAGCGAGACAAACGCAGAGAGAGTGAGAGATAGAGAGATAGATAGAGTGAGTGAGTGAGTGAGTGAGTGAGTGAGTGAGTGAGTGAGTGAGTGAGTGAGTGAGTGAGTGAGTGAGTGAGTGAGTGAGTGAGTGAGTGAGTGAGTGAGTGAGACAGAGAGACAGAGAGAGCCGTGACGGTCAAGCTGTGCGTGTGCGCGTGCGTGTTCACAAACATGAGAGTAACGCACCGTCTTTCTTCTTGTATGCGTTCTTGCGTGCGCGGCGTGCGCGTGTGAGCGACGCCTGCAGTTCGGCCTCAAGCTCCCGCTCTGCCGCTTCCAGCTCCGCATCTGTCCATATGGCGTAAAAGGGGAGAGGGGTGAAATCAATGGTTAGCACGAGCAAGGTTTAAGGGTTAGCACGAGCAAGGTTTAAGGAAGAGGAAGAGAGAGACAGGGAGGGAGGGAGAGAGGGAAGGGGGCTTTCACGAACACGCACGCACGCACACACACAAGCACACACACACACACATACACACACGCACACACACACACACACACACACACACACACACACACACACACACACACACACACACACACACACACGCACACGCACACACACACACACGCACGCACGCACGCACCGTTTGCTTGGTTGAGAATATCCTCCTCATCGCGAACAGCGTGCGACACATCGGCGCCCGTCTGATGAACAGTGATGACACACAGATTTGGGTATGGCGAGGGTGTGAGGGGTAGACATCGAGTGGTTTCAGAGACCAGTCCGATCACCAAACATGCACACACGCACACATGCACACATGCACACATGCACACATGCACACACACATGCACAAACCTCCATTGTGTCGCCTTCTGCCTCTGGTTGACTGAAGATTGGATGAGCAGTCACGCACAAACGCAGAGCAGCGTGAGACGAGATGGAGCCGGAAGCCACAAGGCACGGATACACACACGCGCACGCACGCGCACAAGGACATGTACGTGGCTCACGTCTGCTCTTCCTCGTCGTCAAGGCCAAGCAGGTCGTCCGCACGCACGCGCTGGCGGCGGTGGTGGGTGATAGGTGGTGGTGGTGGCGGTGGGAACGGCAGGAAACCCAGGCGAGAAGGCGAGCGTAAGTTGCACAAGAGGCAACAATGTATGTGTGTGTGTGCATGTGTGCATGCGTGTGTGTGTATATGTGTATGTGTGTGCATGTGTGCATGTGTGTGCACACGACGCAAGTACAGCGAGGCAAGTACAGCGTGGTGAGCACGGCGCCTACCCGTGTCTTCTTGCGGCCCTTTGCCTTCCTCTTCTTCCGCTTCTTCTTGAACTTCTCCATCTCCTCCTCCGTGTAGAAATCGCTCACAGCCTAAACCCAATGGAAAATGACAGGGTTGCAGTGTGGGTGTATGAGTGGTGTGTGTATGAGTGATGTGTGCATGATATGTGCGTGCGCGTGCGTGTGTGCGCATGTAAGTGTGTGCGTGCGTGTTACGTGTGCACATGTGTGATGTGTGGACATGCGTGTGCCATGTGCATCGGAGGTGTCGTACGTTGTGCTTAAACTCGAGGGATTCAGCCTGCAGGAGCCGCTGGCGCACTTCCTCCTTGCGCTGCTCCTCACTGCTCTTCTCATCCTGAGATGTGGTGGTGGTGATGATGGCGGGTAAGGTAAGGGGTAACCACTCTCATTTACAAACACACACACACCATACTGAGCGAGGCAATTGCACGAACCTCAAAGCCGATTCTGAAGGTTTTTGTTTCCTTGAGCTTCTTGTCGCCCGTGAGCGAATCAATGTCGTCGTATTTGTCCAGAACACTCTTCTTTTTCTGCACACACACACACACATACACACATACACACATACACACACGCACGCACATGTCAAAGGTTGGGGTGGTGGAGGAGGAAGCGCAGTGAGCGGTGAGAAAGAGGGCAAGTTGAACGGACGTGAGTCGAGTTGCATTGTCTAGAAGAGTGCAGATAGAAACACCCACCCACCCACCCACACACACACACACACACACACACACAAACACACACACATACACACACGCACACACGCACACACACACACACACTCGCTCTCTCTCTCTCTCATTCCCCTATTCATTCCCCTCCCTCCGCCCGCACTCTCCAAGACCATGGGTGCCCCACCAGGCCGAGCAGGGTGTCTTCGTCGTCGTCGTCCAGCCCGCGCTTTGGATCGTAACCGCCACTGCGCTGCGCCTCCGCAACCCGCCGCTTCGCCTGGACAGACAGGTGGTGGTGGTCGTGGTGGTGGCGGCAGTGGTCGTGGTGTTGATATGTGGTGTCGTGTGTTAGTCGTGTTGTCGTTGATACGTGGTGAGTGAGTGAGTGAGTGAGTGAGTGAGTGAATGAGTGAGCGAGTGAGTGAGTGAGTGAGTGAGTGAGTGAGTGAGTGAGTGAGTGAGTGAGTGAGTAGGTAAGTGAGTGAGTGGGAGAGAACGGAAGGAAGGGAAGCTGTACGTGCTGTGAATGGGCAGCAGCAGCAGGAGTTATAGTGCCATGACGCAGGTGATCTCGACAACAGGGGCGCAACGCGGATAAAGTGGCTCACGTGCTCATCCTCGGCAATGTTGACGTTGACAAGAACATCTTCCTCGTCGTCATCCAGCACACCTGCACACACGCACACACGCACGCGCGCGCACATAGCATGGAGAACACGCATGGTGAACACATGACGAGCACCGCGTCCATACGAGAGGGCGAGAAGTGGATCGATACATACCCACACATGCGCATATGTACACATACACACATGCACACATATCACACATCTTCATACAAAGCACACATGTGCATACGCATTGAGACATGTGCGCACCCCTGTCTTCGAGGGTGAGGATGGTCTGTGCGCCCTCCTGGAACTGGTCCAAGTCGTGGCGCACTGTCATGCCGCGTAGATCCGTCGACGTGTACTGATTGGTTCACGCACGACCCACAGTCACGCAGTGCAGAAGGAAGGGGTGGAGGAGCAGCAGGTGAGTTGGCATGGCACCAGCACCAACGTTGACTTCAAAGACAACGTTGGCTGT